TACTGTAGATAATGGGAGGCAGGGATACAATAATCTCGTTGGAGATCAACAAAGCTCTTGCATGTACCTTGAGTTGTAAACATATCATGCAAGGTGGTTATGCCTTTGGCGTGCCATACACGGAAAGGGGCTCTAGTGTTATTTTTCACAGCTATTTGCAAGTTACCTTAGTGATTTTTTCCAAATTAATTTTAAAACAACTAAAAGTAGCTAAATGGTCATATAGAATTATTTACCACTATAAAATGTACAGTATCTTCGTTATCAACCTTATAACCCTATAAATGTTACAGGTTAATTCAGACATTTGCCCTGAAACAGGCTGCAGCTACTGCTGGGTGATTTCAGGTTGTTTCCAAGCCTACCATCTTATGCAAGTTTTTCTCTAGATCCTCCTACCAGCTTGACATGCCTTGTAAATAGGGAGGTTCTAATACCAAGTACCGTACTTGGAACAAGTACAGATACTTCTCCAGCTTCAAGACTAGACTAGAGAAAAACTCAAAAGTTAGGAGGCAGCTGTCATTTCTAAGGAGCATACAGAGCTCCTGGGATTTGTGGATCTCTGTTTTAAAGGAAAAAATTGAAGAAATGCATAATTAACCAGTTGACATCCACGGTGTTAAACCCCCTTCCCATCCAGGCCATTTTTCAGTATTCAGCGCTGCGGTACTTTAACTGACATTTATTCCGTCATGCAGCGCTGTACTGAAATTAATTTTATACCCTTTTTTGGGGAAAATGTAAAAAAAAATGCATTTCTTTAATATTTGCATTCAAGCCTGGAAAGCATTGCAATCACAGCTGCAAAGCTCAGGCTTCTGCACATTCTCTCCCAGGCAGAGCTCGTACGGAGGTACAGTGTTTCAGTTAGGAGAGATGGGGGAAGGATGCCTGGACGTCAAACTGCATTAAATCACCTCACACGGTGTCCAGTCATCCCCGCTCTAGGTTGATCTGCCTATATTCCCGCATCTGAGCTATGTGGAGTGATTGCAATGCTTTCCAGACTTGAATGCAAATATTAACCAGTTGACATCCGGGGTGTTAAACCCCCTACCAGGCCATTTTTCATTATTCAGCGCTGCGGTACTTTGACTGACATTTATTCCGTCATGCAGATACCTTTTTTTTATTGTCGTGTGCTTTTCTAAAACAATACAGACTAATGATTTCAGGGGAGTGGTGGTGCTCCTGGGCCCTGTCACAGCTGCAACGACTACAACCCTGGTAGTTCTATTGAAAATGTCAAATATCGGCACTGGTATCTGGTGAACATCCCTACTTGTAAACATTTAAGGGAAAGCTCCAAGTGGACATCTGTATAAAATGCCAACCAGTTCAGTTCTTACCTTTCAGTACAATTAAGCAGTGGTGTTTCTACAAGGTTTTGCTGTGCTGCCACAGTCTTTACCATATCATGTAGCATAGCCTCAATAATTCTGCAGAGAAAGATTTATACAAGTGGCGTCCACAATAATGTTTGTATGGTTGTAATGCACAGGTAACCTTGTGCAGTCAGGTACAGTCTCTGCACCTGTCAACTCACTGCAAGTGTCAAAGTGTCATTGCCTACTTTACCACAAACCACATTAGGCTTAGTTTACAAAACTAACACACCAGGATAAGTCTTCTAATTTTTTTTAAAAAGTGACAGTTACATTCAGCTGAGTCCAAAGAGGTTTAACATTACATAATGCTGTATCCTTGTGTTAAACTGGAACTGTGGGCAAAATTAAGTCATACACAGTAATTATTTTATTTTCTTAGTTTATAAATATTTGTTTTTTAACACCAACTTGACAATACTGATTCCTGATTCTACAGCCTGCCAGTTAGAGGTATCCTGTAAGACCTGCCTATTGATTTATAGCCTTAGATATTGACCCATGTACATTACACCAAAGATTGCAGAAAAGCTGTGTGTAGTCCAAAAAATAACGTGCTCAAACAAATTTGCTTAAAATTAATAAAATAACTTTGTCAACAAATCTGAGCCTTTTGGTGCCTATGTTTTTTTCACTGATGCGTTTCCAATTGAAATCAATGGAAATATATTAAAATGAGAGCTATGGCACATGTTAACGTATGTTGCTGCGATTTTTACTTTGATCAAGATTATTTTTTTTCTTCAGTAAAGATTCTTTGTTAGCTTCTCAACTGGGGCTTGATATGCAGCCATCTGGATCAGCTGATCCTTGGCACTGCCTCATAGGTCATACCTGGACCCTGCCAGACTGAGGATTGCGGGGCTAGCCAGTACTTTGACTGTTAGCCACTGGGCGCTACTTGTGGCCCTCTCCAGACACCCTATGTACTGGTTTGTTAGCTGCAGAGTGATTTGCAGATCCAAAGCCATGACACAACCTCTAGAGTGATCCTGATCCCTGAAGACATCCTAGAGAGTATGCCTGCATTAGGGGTGAGGAATGCCTGGGATTTGTTACGTGCATGGGTTCTGCATATGGCACACTCTAGTACTTAGTTACTGTGTTTATTAGTCGCAGAACACTCTCCATGCCTGCAACTGTTGTATGTCTGGGTTTTTACCCATATGAGCTTGGCACGTTATCACTGTTATTATTTTTCCACTTGCCACTCATGAGGCTTACAGGTAGGATTAAAAGTTTTCTTTAACTCTTGGCGCTAATGGGTGCCAGCTGAACAATCCACTTGCTGTTGCACACTCAAAGATTTAAACAGTTAATCACAGTTTTTCACACATACTTGAGGGGCTGCTCATCCAAGGCTCTGGGGCTTCCACCACGAACATAGAAAACAAAAGGGAACAGAGCGCCACCTCCGTGTGTAAACTCATTTATTACATTTATAACAATAAATAGAATTCATCAGAATTTATTACTTTGATGAAGGGGGCTTGCCCCTGAAACGCGTCATGATTCTGATGAAGGGGGCTTGCCCCAGAAATGCGCCAATCTTGGCTGACTGCGGTCGGTGGACGGTGATGTGTCTGGAGGCTACCGTGTTACATAGTTGGGGTGATACCATGTTGGGTTAACAGACAGTGTGGCCTCTCGTTTGTTGTTAAAGCCTAATGAAAACGTTTGTTTGTGAGTACTTTTATCCCTTGTTTTATTTATTGTAATAAACAATTTTACACACGGAGGTGGCGCTCTGTTCCCTTTTGTTTTCTATGACACGATTGTTTACCCCTGCTTGAGTCCACATACTCCTTGGAGTCTTCCTTAGCCCCTTAGATGTGGCTCCCTCCTCCACTCTGTTTGTAACAGCTGGAGCTGTTTCAGGATATGGCTTAGTCCACAGTGTTCTTTTAACAGAAACTCCTAACTTTTTGCTCCCAGATTCAGACCTTACAGACCAGGAGATATCCAAAAATGCCTCCTTGCAGGTAATCCTATTTGAACAGTTCTGCTCCAGATCATTAAAATCTAACAATCTGGCTACATGCAACAAAATAGTACATTCAAGCATACTGTTTAGAGTGATTTGTCTGTCCCTTTAATGCTGGACTCCTCAATGGCATTCTGATCCAAATTCAGTTGGACCACAGCATTGACATATATCAACTATCTGGGAGGAACCAGATGTCTCACTACAGAAAGAGAAGTAGGACAGATTCTGTCTTGGGCAGACCTTCACATTCCAGGCTTGTCAGCCATCCACATTCCTGGTGTGGACAGTTGGAAGCAGACTACCTCTGCTCTTCAGGACCTGTGTCTCATTGGGGGATGCCAGATGTGGACCTTCAGATGCAGGATTAGTCTCCAGATGCATGATTCCACTAGCAGAGGCAGTGGAGGCCCTGGTGGCTTTGTGGAATCAGTAAAATCTGATCTATGCCTTTCCCCCTTTGAATCAACTTTCTTGTCTGTTCTGCAGGATCAAGAGTGATCTTCTTTTTTACAAGGATAAGATTATCTTTATGCCCAGAGAATCCTTTCTTCCTAAGGTGGTCTCTACTTTTCATCTTAACCAGGACATTGTTATTCTATCACTCTGTCCTGCACCAGTTTATCCATTTCTTTAATGTGGTTAGAGTGATCTGATTCTAACTCACAGCTACATCTTCAGACAAACTGACTCCTCTTTGTCATTCCACACGGTTCCTGTAAGGTACACCCTGTTTTTTGCTTCAGCATATCTTGGTGGCTCAGACAAGTCATTTTCCAAGCCTACTGGATTACGGACAAGGCCCTGTATTTTTCTGTCAAGGTACACTCCACTAGCTCTGTGAGTCCTTGTTAGGCTTTTTGGCATCAGGCTTCTGTTTTCTAGATTTGCAAGGCTGCCACCTAGCTTTTTGTTCACACCTTCTGTAAGTTCTACAACGCAGTTGTTCAAGCATCTGCAGATGCAAGTTTTGGAGATACGGTCCTTTAGGCATCTCTCCAATCTGCAGGGAACCCCCAGTGTGTATCCACTGTTATTGTTTTCTTAGGCTGTTAGCATTGTTGTTGCTATTGCCTCTCCCCTCAGTTGGACTGTCCCAGTGTTGCTGAATTCTACATATCCTCTATCCCTTGATAAATGATTAGGACCCTTTTCTTGATGTTCATCAAGGGACACAGGTCCACCCCTCTGTGTTCATGAACTACTCTTACGAATGCTTTCCAACAAAAGTTGAAGCATCATGGGAATGGGGGGGGGGATTTTTTTCATTTTTATTTTCGTTTGCCAGTGTCCTAATTCTACTAAAGGTGGCATTATAACCCAGTGTTCTGGAATTCAACTAATCATGTGTTTCTTGATGAACTCCAAGAAAATAATTTGAAGGTGAGTATAAAAATTCTATTTTATTCCACAAAAAATGCTTAAAAGAGCTAAACAATATATATTTTACACACCATTATCAATCTAACTGCATTGAAGTCCAATGGTGACTTGCCAAATATATCCTGGCATCCATTTGTTAAATATCTAAATATATTGAGAATTTACCTATATGAAATTGGCATACGCACTCCATTGAATACAGATACTGGCTGGGCATAACTGAAATTATTTCTGTTTTCTTACAGATAAATTTACAAAGGAAGATGAGAGTCACTGGTGTTATTACACAAGGAGCAAAAAGAATAGGCAGCCCAGAATATATCAAGTCATACAAGATTGCCTACAGTGATGATGGAAAGTCCTGGTCAACATATAAAGTAAAGAGAACCACTGAAGACATGGTAAGAAATATGCTTTTTAAAGTTTAGTTAAATACAGGGTTATTTTTCTTAAATAAGAGACATTCACAAAAATGTAAACCTTTACTATGTATAACCTAACCTTGGGTAATATGCAATCATGCCAAATTGTCTGTGTTTTGCATGTTTTTGTGATTTCAGCTGTGAAGTCACAAAAACACGCAAGAGAATAACATTGGCAACCAAGGAACAGTCACTTCGAGGCGTATTTATGGCCAGCAGAATATTGATAAGCCTGACTACAAGACTGCCATAACTAAATACCAAGGATTTCACATTCTTTCCCCAATATATTTATTTATTTTTTTATTCAAAAGTGTTTCATGGGCCACCATATTCCCCCTGGCTACGGTAAAGGGAGAATAAAGATCCACACATGACAATGCCAGCCAAAGTATTACATTATCTTACAAATATTATTGGAGTCATTGGGGTTGATTTACTAACCTTATAAACACACCACGAAAATGTATACACCTCTGTAGTGTGTTCTCTCCCAGCATGATCTATGGGTGGAATCTAAACACCTTTGTAGTGTGTACACACCCAGCAGGTGTGTTGTGCAAAATCAAGCATTGAATTGCAAGGTGATGTTGTGTAAATTAGCTCTATGTTGTGTTGCTTGCGTTGATGAATGCAGGAATGTAAATGCATGAGCTAACCATTTTTGTCTAAACTGTGAAGCAGCATTATATATGCCTCATGTGCATGATTTTTCCATATATGGCATTAGTGGAAATATGCTTTTAGAGACTTTTTGGTTGATAAATACGTTTTGCTGTGTGAAAATCACACGCACCTGGTGCGTGCGTGTGTTTAGGTTAGTAAATCACCCCCATTGAATCATGGTATTCTGAGAGATTCCCACTCTTGAAATGTCATGCTTTGGCTGTTAAAATGGCCCTGTAATAAAAATTTAATAAAAGGTTCCTGCAATAGAAGTATCTAAATACTCATATCTCAGTTAAGTGGCAAGGCTGAACTTTTCATGCACTACAGCCTTCGGCAAAGTCTTTAGCAGTCTGCACTTCAAAGAGTATCTGATTCCTACATCCCCTGCCTGTGGTTTCATCTTCTGGCCCTACACTACAGGACACAGTATTGATGTAGGTGACAATGGGAAGAACTAATCATCGCAGCGGGGAACTAAGCATCTGAAACATATGGCCAGATGGTGGTTGCCAACAGAGACCAGAGTCTGTAGCACAAGAAGACAGTGGAATTCATACTCATCACGCACTGGAAAGGTAAGTATCCAGAGGCTTTGAAAACAGGAATGTTTGTTCGGAGGCACTGGAATCATTTTAAGGCAAAACCTGTATTGGTAACATAATTTGTGATTTTTCCCTTAGATGTAATGATAGGCATTGATCTGACAATGTTATGGCTTTCTCACAGGCAACCATGTTAGGCAGCTATTGCACCCGCCGTCTGCTGCTGTCAATCACTAGAGAGGATCTGATGGAGAACTGCAGGTCCCCTCTGCTGATTGACAGCAGCAGTGGGTGGGTGCAATAGCTAGTTTGCTATTGGCTATTGCAAATTGAAATAGCCAATAGGAATCTAGCTATGCATTCCTATGGTGATTTTTTTTTATTATTCTGACGGCAGCCAACGGCTCCGATGTCAGAAGAAAAAAAAAGGCCAGCTTCGGCGTTCACCTCGGCTCAGTTGAGCCAAAGCATATGCCACTCGGCCGATTACGGGAGCTGTACGGGCTATAGTGAATAGCCCGTACAGCAGCCCTTCAGTTCTACAGAACCGAAGGGGTCCTGGGGCCGAAGATAGCCGAAGGATCAGCCCCATAATATTTTTATACCGGACCAGAAACACTTTAATTTAACAGCAAGGATTGCAAAAGAAAAAGCATTGCAGCAATAAAATCAAATGGTTCCATGTAAGAGCCATTGTAAGTCACTAGTCACACACTGATTCATCAAGCTCTGTAAATAATATTGGAATAGAATCACATTACAAATGGTCAATGGGAAATGCTGTTACCGCATAAAGGGTTTCCAATTAGACTGGTATTTTTAATTTTTCCTGGAAACCCCATTGAAGTGTTTCCCCAAGATATTTTGCTTCAGATATTTTAGCCTAGCTGACCTTTGCTTTATTATAAATGTCACAGAAAGGCAGAGTGACATTAGTACAAATAAACCAAATTAGGAAACAAAGGTCTCCAGCAGATCTCTCAGCTGTGTTGCTTTTTAGTAATGGTAATTAATCACAGATCTACTCCTTCTCATAACCTTCTGTCCATTATTTATTTATTTTTCTGACTTGGATGTGACACTGTCTGATACCTACATGTTAATATGGCCCTAACCATTTTTCTCTTTCAGTATTATCTGAGAAACAAAATGTCAGCTCATCTAATAAGCCCTATTAAATATTTCATTTTAAAAACAACTTACATAATCAATTCTTGCATATTTTTCCGCCTTAATACTAAGTAATCAGTTTTGTCTTGGTTAAGGTATATCGACAGTATAACAATTAGTTAATGATTTGATGCAATTTGAGCCAGTGCGTGCACTGAGAATGGAAAGTCAGTTAAATACAGACTATGCAGTGCATTTTATATTTTTACTGTAAGTGTATGGATGATTAAAAAAAAAAAAAAATCACAAAATAATGCACTTTAAAAAAAATGTGACTTGAGTATTGTTTTTGCCAAAAGCATATTCAAAAATAAAGTGATTTTGGTTTTCAAGGGTGCAATAGGCATTTTTTTGGCTCCTATGGTTTACAGAAGCTGCTTCCATGCTTTTTATTCATGCTAAAATATAATGTGAATGTAATGGCTGTTTTATTTATTATTTTTTCTGAGGCAAAAGAAAAAAGTATTTCTATTTACATAAAAATATTTCAGAATTCAGGTTCAAACTCAGAGGCGTAACCAGAAATCACAGGGCTCCATAGCAAAAATAATGGCACTGAACATCACATTGCTACAGTCATGTGGCATAGTGCCTGAGCTACAGCATACATTATTATATATGATTACATGCAGTAAGAAAACAATCATTATCCCTGGACGCAGAGATAGTGATTGGTTCCTAACCACATGTAATCATATCAAATACGTGCAGTGGCTGTAACCTGGTCATTAAAGTGAATGGGTGACAGTTGCTGCTTGTAAATGCCAGATTAGGGATTCCTGATGCAGAAATCTCTAATCGCACCTAAACGTAGAAGCAGACCTTACTAATCCTTCCTTTTGGCCAGAGCTCAGAGCTGTCAGAGCTCCGGCCGAACGGAGCTAGTGATTGCCGGCAATGATGCAAAGATGCAGACTGTGTAGCTGCGGCCCGGAAGGTGCCAATTTTGGCCCACGGGCCAGCATTTTGAGACTCCCCTGCACTAGAGGCTGAGACTAGCTGCCCCCCCTCTTCCCCAGGCGGCGTGGGCCACTGCTTTAATCTACCTTCATTTATTATCAAGTTAGAAGATACCTGTGTGTAATATTATGTACTTCCAATAGTCAAAAGCACTTACATTTTGATTAATTTATTAGCTGAAATGTATTAAGTCCAACTAACAACTTTTTTTTTCTATAATAGCTTGTTAAAAGAATATGCTAAAAACTTATAAGAACCCAGTTCTATGTGCAGATCGCTAAAAGATCATTCTTTTAAAAAATTGCTTGAGAATTCATGTCTATGGCTATGGAACAGGGAGGAGGGGCAGCAGGACACACCAGTAGCAGCTTACCTGAAGGAAAAGTAATTGTCACTGACTGAAAAAATTCAACACAGTCATTTCTTCATGTGAGATCAGTCATCCAAGGTGTGTCTGCACAGGACATCCCTAGAGTAGTCTATAGAAATTCAATTAATTCTTCTTTAAATACAAAGCTTTCTGTTGACTTTTCTTGTCCCTAGATGTGGTCACTGCATTTTTTTACAGGATTATTTTCTTTTCTTTTCACCTTGTAATCTCACCATTAACACATTTCCTGTCCTAGAATGACAACGTTTGCCTACCGTACTGTATCTATAGAGGTGCAATATTGTCACCGTATGTAATGAAATCAATAGCGAGAACTGGAAACAACGTCATTGATAATATCAGCAGAGGTAGAAAGTGCATGAAGTTATCAATTCACAAGATTTATGGCAGTATAAACAGGGGTTTTTTTCACTCATTGACCACTTTAGTACTAACATATGTAAAGAAACGTCATATACTAAAGTGGTTGAAACCAAGAACACAGCTGCTGCACACTTCCAGTGGCACACTCCCCTCCGTTTACTGAACCCCTCACTTCTGATTTCAGACTGTTTTCAAAATATGGAAACCCCTAATAACTCCATAAAGAGGACCTGTCACTTTCTCTGTGCTATCACAGGGAGCTTGTTTGCCCCATATGATATAGCATTAAGGTAAATCATAAAAAAGTTTACAAAAAAAGTAGTGACATACGAAAATCTAAAAAACACACAAAAAATGTAAAGCCCTCTACCCCCACATACACGTACATTCAAACACAGGCGTGTGTCCAGTTTGCCTATGTCGTCATAAATATCTAAGTAAGAGCAACAACTCTAGGGCCATCACTCATTGTTAACTATAAACTGATGGATTAAATAAATTGATTAACCCTCCTAACCCTATTGTACTGAAACGGTATTCTATTGTAAATTGTATTGTAATTGTACTGTCTCCTCCATTTTGTAAAGCACTGCACAAATTGTTGGCGCTATATAAATTCTGTATAATATAATAAATGTGTTTATATTTACAAAGAAATTGGGTATTATTTTGTGCTTGTGTGCACTAAAATTACATTTAGTCTATTTTTTCCTAAAAATATCGATTTGATAAATATTTGGGCAAATATTGCACAACATCAATAATTGCAATTAAAAAATTTTATTCTACAGGTTCTGTATTTTCAAAAAATATATAATTGGTTGGGGGTTTTGAAGCAGTTTTATAGCCAAAAATTCTGAAAATTTGTGCGAAAATTTTTTACAAATTGGTTCGCTAGCAAACTGGTTAAACAGTTATAACAACGCACTTTAAACTGTATATAACAGACCAAAATGGGACAAATAAGAAAAGTCTCTTGGTAGAATTTATATACATTTTTATTTTTAAATGTTAACAGTGGCATACATGTTTAGTTTAAATCGTATTTATCTAGTTAAACAAATATTCTGAGCCATAACTTCCATTCATTGGTGAAGAATGATCAGTTGGGAATCATGAAATTGATACTGTATATGACTTTTGGAAACTAAATTACTAATTACAGAACGTCTTTTTTTTCTGTAAACGTTTTGTGTACATTAGTTTTTTTCATTAGTACAATCTACTGTAGAAGGTTTACACTCATTGTGTGTGGGAACTGTGATTGCTCACACATGCATCATTAAAATATATATAGTATATCTACTGTATCACTAAGATTATTACATTTCTTTCGGCTGAAGAAATCTTTTCTGTAAACATTTTGTTTTCAGTAGCGAACAAGATGAAAGAGGAAAAACAAATAAATCTTATAGAATTTCAGTAACATAACTGACATATTGAATTCTGAGAGACTTTTATACTCCAGAACACTGGCTGTCAATCCTTAATTATTTAATTAATTTATTAGAAAACATTTCATCAGTCTTCTAGCTCTCTTGTGGTGCCATATTTCTGGTGCGCTTAAAGCAGAACTACTGTTTACAAACAAGGAACGTAGCCTCTATATGGATTGTACTTACATAAATGTGCACGGTGATCATATATGGCACCAGCCATCTGAAGGCTTGAACGTTTGATTGAGATCTGAAATAAGGACACTGGCAACCTTAACAGTTAGTAACAGCGACACGCCTTAAAAGTAACGGTTTTGGGAGACAGTTAAATTGGTGGATCTAGTTCCACTATAACTGGTGATTCTGGTGAATTGGGGGGAGGGTACATTTTTTAAAGTAAAAAATATGAAGATGTAACAAAATTATTTATGAATAAAAAATCTGGTTATTATTTGCCATATGCATATTGTCCAGGCCTAATTACTCATTTAAAAGTCTTTCTGCTGACTTTAATTGAAAGTTTGGTTTACTAGGTATTCGGTTGAAGAATTTATGTTGTTTCAAATAAAACACTTTTCAGCATTTTCCTTCAGCAGCTGTACAGGTACTGTTTATGTTCCTGAGACTTGTGTTCTGAGATGCAGAAGCACAAGGTGTGGATCAACACCTGTGCAATCTGTGCTATATCATTCCATGAGAATACATTTCTGTGCTTGCTTGGTTTAAAGATGAACTCTGTAAAATGATTCTGTTTTCCACATGTATTGCTAATTTCTGTAAAAGAACCCTCATGCAAATCCTAATTACTGAAGCAGCATTACTTTGAATTGTGAAATACTACCCAACACATTGCTGCAAGTTGACTTTGCAAGTTGCAAGTTAACAGTGTCATAACTGCCTAAAATTTTTCTGGTTTAAAAACTAATTTTTAAAAAAGAACAGTAGTCAATACTTATGTTAGGCTTTATGCTTATAATTACCACAGCTAGGGTTTATTCTTACAGTTGCTACAGTTAGGGTTTATGAAATTCACAATCAGTTCTGCACCTTTTAAACACAGGGCATACTGTATGTGCAGTGTTTCCCCCAAAATAAGATTCTGCTCCTTTTAATGCATGATTTCATACCACGCGGATGTCGCCCTGGTGTAAACAACACAAATTGGAAATATTTTTTTTATGTTTAGCACATTTCTGCGCATACCAATACACTCTGAAAACCGCTAATATGTGAACGGATCCTAAGAGCAATAGATGTACACTGAACCTCTAAGAATCAACATACAATGAAGGGAATCTATCAAAACTGGAGCAGACAAAATCTGAAGCAGCTGTGCATGACAACCAATCAGCCTCTCTCTTTCATTTTCAAATCTAAACAAAGCAAGTAGAGTCCTGTCCTTTATTAAGAAGGGAATGTATTGCATGGACAAGTCTATAATTTTGCCATTTTACAGATCACTGGTTCGGCCTCATCTGGAATATGCGGTCCAGTTTTGGTCACGAGTCCACAGAAAAGATGTCCTTGAGCTGGAAAGACTCCAGCAGAGGGCAACCAAACTCATTAAGAGGATGGAGGACCTGAGCTATGACACAAGGCTACTAAATTTAAATATGTTCTCGTTGGAAGTAAGGAGATTAAGGGGGGACATGATTTTCATGTATAAAATGTTAAATGGTGACAGCAACATTAGCAACAAACTCTTTACGGTTAACCCCATAACAAAGACTAGAGGCCACCATCTAAAATTAGTGGAGAAAAAATGTCAGCACAAGGGGCGCAGGGGGTTCTTCTCAGTTAGAGCGGTTAGGGTCTGGAACTCGCTGCCACATGCAGTGATTTCAGCTAAGAATGTGGAATCATTCAAAAAGCTCTTGGACGATTTCCTTAGAGACCATAACATACAGGGGTACAGGTACACCTAAGAACAAGATCACACATGAACAGTAGAAAGGCATCATGGCACACTCACAAACCAGCATGTAAAACAACTTGTCTCACCACTAAGGACAATGACAGAGGTTTGGATACACGTCTTCTGCAAAGGATGTGTAAGCCGCACTGCCGCGCCAAGGCACCTCTTATAGTGCGGTCCTAACTCTAAACTATGAGAGTCTCCATCTTGGAGCACATGGGGGAAAGATTTAGTCTGCTCCACTTTTGATAAATTCTCTCCATTATGGATCCCTGTTATCAAAGGTTTCACAGTCAATTTATGGTGAAATGTTTTACATCCTTTTACATTCATAAATGCTACACAGTAGGAATGGCAATGACTGTAGAGTACACCCCCTACTTAGAGTTTCATAAAAACAGCAGCAACATACTGATGAAGTCATTCACTTGCTCTGTCCGCTCTCTCCCCCTATTAGCATGTTTCTTGTCAGTATATATGTATGCAGCACAGCTGCATTACATATATAAATTAGCTCCTGTTTCTGCTCCTTCCTCTGCCAGTTGTGTTATATAGGGGTTGAATGCTGTTCTATAGGGAATTCCAAGAAGCTGATACGAAACCCAATTTGGGTGCATATCCTAGTTCCCTTAAAGAAAACAAATCTAATGATGTATTCATGAAAACAGAGATGTGATAACTTTTTGTCATTAACATATGTCTGGAGTTCAGCTTTAAATCTATTATTGTTATTATTATTGTACAGGATTTATATAGTGCCAACAGTTTGCACAGTGCTTTACAATATATGGAAGACATTACAGTTAAAATACAAATCAAGACAAGATGGTAAGGAGGGCCCTGCCCATGAGAGCTTACAAGTCATACAAGAGGTGGAAGCTGTGTGGGGATGATTTATTTGAGTAAGTGATCGTTCAGTGGCTAGGTTGAGCCAGGATAGACTTCCCTGAAGAGATAAGTCTTCAGGGATCGTCTGAAGGCAGACAGAGTAGGAATCCATAGGATCTATTGGAGATTTCAGTAAATTATGACATATATAACTGCTGGATTGTGAAAACTGGTTCAGTTAGAAATCATGAGGCAGCAGAAGAAGGGTAAAAAGTGCAGAACAGAGAATTAATCTTTTTTTTTTTTTTGCTTGCAGTTATTTCGGGGTAATGTGGACAACAACACGCCGTATGCCAACTCATTCACTCCACCAATTGAAGCTCAGTACATTCGCCTATACCCACAGGTGTGCAGGCGACATTGCACACTACGGATGGAGCTACTGGGGTGCGAACTATCAGGTATGACTAATTTTAACATGACTGAAAACATGGTTCATGATCAGTTTTCTATGCTACTTAAAGCGGTCCTTGCATTATGATCTCATAAATATCAAAAGTTCTGAATCTATGAAACACTCGATTTATTATAAATACATATCAGAGTTGCTAGTGCCACTGTTAGATACTACTTGCATTTTCCTGTGTAGTGCAGATATCTGGAACAGCCATATTTGTGTAGACTTCATAGAGAATGTTTACTTCCTGATTCCTCCCTCTTTCTCACAGCCTCTGAAATCTCCTGAGACTTCAGCCACACAAACATCACTGCAGCTTGGCTGTGGAGAAGGGAGATTGCTGACATCACATATGACATGATCAGCACACCAGGAACTCTGGCTATCGGCATAGAGCTTTGCTGATGTACAGCCAGCAACATGCAGTGGGTAGGGGCAGGCTCTGCATTCCAGTAAAAATAATACAGGTAATGTATTTACACATTGCTCATACTTTACACAGCTGAGATAGCAGTATAGATAATACCATTTGAGGATCACTTTTACATGCAGGGTCCGCTTTAAGTTATTCTTAATTACGTGCATTACAAGAAACAAGAAAATAAGCAGATGACTGGTGGGCTGTTGCTGTGAAAGAATAAAGAATTGCTTAGAGATGATGGAACTTAGAAAATACATATGAGGAGTAGAACATTTGCTGCCAAAGGTTAAGAACCATCTGAAATTGACAGATTGTCCATATTTATTTTAGTTGATAAAAAGTTTGAAGCTGCTGGATTGCCATTGTTTATTTTTATAATTCATCTTTCCTTCCAGCTGTATTACGTTGTCAGAATTCGTATAAGAAAATTCTAACAATTCTTTTGTTGCCTATTGCCCAAATACTACCTGCTAGGTTCCTCTTAAAGTGACACTAAACTCAGGAGTAAAATCTTAAAAATGCATTCAAGTGTCTTAACTTGTAGCATAGTTTGTGTGTTGTAAAGTAGCCTCCACTCCAAGCTCGCTCCCGTGATAGACTATAACTTTAATACAAATTAGTAAACTAAACATAAGACTGTAGTCCATCTTGTGAGTGAGCTTGGAGCAGTGGCTACTTTACAACACACACAGGGACCATGGGGAACAAAAGTAGCCACTCTTTCAGAAGAAAGGACAGTGTCAGCACAAATTCAGAGATGATTTGAGGATCTACAGCCGAGTATACACAATTAAGATACATTTTTGTTAATAGTTAAGGTACTTAACTGCATTTTTAAGATTTAACTTCTGAATTTAGTGTCACTTCAATACTTATTTTTGTTCAAAAATCAAATGAGACATGTAATAGCAATTTAAAATAAAGATTTGCCTATGTTTGGTTATTTGGATATGTTAATATGAAAGCCTTGCCTCAACTATTTCATCAACCATTCAGGTCAAAAGAGAAATCTCCTTATTAAGGCTAATCATAAATGGTTCCATCATGGCTATAGATTAGTGATGAGCAAATGCACCAAAATATGATTTAGTTGTCCTTATGAGGGCTGATATATACTTGTTGTCCTTATGAGGGCTGCTATACAAAATAATGAAGAAAACAATGGATAGGCTTTTAAAAGAGTTTGAGGGGGACAATATACAAATTCTTTAAATTAAAGGTTTAAGGATGCCTTAAAGTTGTACCATAGTGTTATGGACACCCTCAGTCCCGGGGTGTGTGGGTTGTCGTGGCAAACCCTCTCAAACTGAGAGAGCCGTATGTTATTAGTTTGCTGTGGTGTGAAAGTGGTAACGAAATGCCTGATCTGAAGGTACCTGAAGATTTCCTTACTAGGGAGTTGGGTATGCTCTTGAAGGTACGGGAAGGATTTAATGCCTTTGTCGGTTCGTAGTTGCCAAAGAGTGGTAAGGTTACGTTCCGACCACGCGGAAAATCTTAGCGGATGGTGTAAGGCAGGGGTGAAGAGGGGATTTGCCAGAAAAGACATAAGAGGTAAGGTAGGGGAGAGAAGGCCATGAGAAGTTTTAATTGAGTCCCAAAGTCTTAGAGAATGGGACGTAATCGGGTTAGATATAGATGGTCTCTGTTTCGGGGTTAGCCACAGAAGGTTAGCAGCCGAGGTGGAGCTCACCAGCATTGTCTCCAAGGTCACCCAGGCCGGGGTCTCGAAGACCAAGTTATATTTCGCTAGTTGTCCAACTTGCGCTGCCAGGTAATACTTGTGTAAGTGTGGAACTGCTAAACCCCCCTGAAGTTTTGGGAGATAGAGCGTGCGTCTGGGAACTCTAGGTTTCTTGTCCCCCCATATAAAGGCGAATATTTGCGATTGCAGCTTCTTCAGAGTAGGACTAGGGATTGCGACAGGCAGGACTCTAAATAAATAGAGAATCTTTGGTAATAGCGTCATTTTGACTGCGGCCACCCTACCTAGCCAGGAGAGTTGGTAACTGGACCATGCTTTCAGCATGCGCGACAGCTTGGCCACCATCTCGGGGTAGTTCGAAGTATATAAAGCATGATATGAATTTGTCAGATTAATACCCAAGTAACGAAGGTGGGCAGCGTGCCAGGTGTAGGGGTAGGTAGTACGCAGGGATTCAACTAGTGGCAGGGGTAGTGAGATATTAAGGGCCTTGGACTTAGAATGATTAATGCCTAGACCTGAGACCTCTTCAAAATCTGCCAATATAGCCGTCAGATTGGGTAGGGTAATAGCTGGATTTGTTATAAAGAGCAAGGCGTCATCCGCAAACAAACAGATCTTATGAGACACACCCTCATAGTCAATGCCAGTAACATCCGGGGATTTACGCAGTTTTTGCGCCAGAGGTTCTATTGCTAGGGCGAAGAGGAGGGGCGAGAGTGGGCAGCCCTGCCTGGTGCCTCTAAGGATCGAAAAGGGTTGAGAGGTGAAGCCAGAGTATTTAATGCGGGCGGTGGGGTTGTTATACAGAGAGGAGACCCAAGTTAGAAAGAAGTGTCCAAAGCCCCAGCGCCGCAAAGTATGAAACAGGTAGGGCCAGGATACACTATCAAACGCCTTCCGAATATCGAGGGAGAGAAGCATGGAAGGGATTTTCTTGGTGCTTGCTGTATGGGACAGGAGAGTGATTCTCCAAATATTGTCACTAACCTGTCTAGTGGGGATAAAGCCTACTTGGTCATTCGAAATTATCTGGCCTATCACCTTGTTAAGGCGGTTGGCCAGGACCTTAGCTAACAACTTAATGTCCACATTGAGCAGAGAGATTGGTCTGTAGTTGGAAGGGTTAGTATGATCCGAGGCTGGCTTGGGGATCATACAGATCAGAGCGGTGAGGGAGTCCTGGCCCAGGGTTCTTCCGTCTATGAAGAAGGCAAGTTGATCCACATTGGGGGCATAGTAGGTGACCAATGTAATTTCGCTATCGTCTAGGAGGCCAGTCAGGATCAGGTAGCGACCCAGGGGATCGCGGTTCTCTGAGTGACATTCAAAGTTGACTGACCTGCGGAAGCCTATTAGGACCCCTTTCCGTTTGCATGAGTCATTAGCCATATAAATCGTGGGGAATTGGGAAGAGAAGTATTTAGGGCAGGAGGATCTTGAGAAGTGGGTTTCTTGGAGGAAGATGACATTGGCGTGGATAGATCTAAAAAATCTGAAGGCTCTGGTCCGTTTATTGGGGGAATTTAGGCCCTGCACATTCAGGCTCAACAATTTAAGAGGCATGGGGGGTCTCACAACAAACGTGCTGGTGGTACTTACCCAACCCAAACTTGCTTGGATTAATCAATTGCTTCTGCCACACCGACGAGCAGTCCGAACTAGTAAGCTGGAGAGTAGCTCGAGGTAAAGAGAAAGGGGAGGAAGGGAGGAAACACAAGGGTAGGGAGGACAGAGGACAATAAACATGAAACATGAAAACAAATACTAGAACCTGAGGTGGAATATATCCACTACTATCCTGGCTCATTGGGCAGTCAGGTCCGAAGGGGCACAAACTACCCAAGGAGTCCAAGAGATGGGGAGCACAGTGACATGCTCACCCAGGCAAAATTCAGAAAAACAACATTCTCCTCAAACTATGCATATTAACCTGGTAACCGAACAGCATTAACTTTTAACTAATAGTTCACTTGCAGACACAGCCTGGATGCGAGGACTTAGGAGGTCTAAGGGATGAGGGGACAATATATTGCACAGCTATCGTAAACAGCACTGTCCCAGACGAGCCAGGTTCAATCTAGGGGGAGAGAGCGGCAGAGCCGTTACGCCTGGAGGTTAGTGTACCCAGAGGGACCCACAATGGCTGGGGATGTTACAAGAGTACTTCCTAGTGAAGTGCAGTGAGGTAGGGGAAATACTTGGCGTCCGGTCTGCAGCCTTAAGTCTGGGACAAGTGCAAAGCTGCGTAGTGGGTGCTATGGAACTGGGAGTAAGTGCTGTTGCATTAAGTGGTCCGCATGTACAGAGTGAAGATTAATGACTACAAAACGTGACCTAAGGACTAATAAAAGGATATAGTATATAGAAAAGGCGGTATGTGGGATAGACCAGGTCCACTCAAGGCTTCGTGGTCTGGGAAAGTTTTGCTATCGATATCCTCCCGTCGGTCGCCAAGGGTGTCTGTGAAGGCCAGGAGCTTGACATCAGCAGGAAAGTCCGGAGGATGGTATGGTGGGGCCAAGGTCAGCGCCGTCCGCATCAAAGGCCCAGTTAGAGACGGTATTGGACTGTGGAAGTTCTCCTCAGTCAGGGTTTCAAATAAGCGTGGAGCATGGCTTTGGTCGGCTGCCATTCAGCGTGGAGCAGAGTTTTTGGTGGTCATTTTCACAGCAGGGCCTCGGGATTCTCCAGAGTGATTTTGGTCGGAGTCGCTATGGGACCTCTTAGTGGAGGAGGCAGACGAGTGTCTCAGGTCAGTGGGTGCAGCTTGGGGGTCCATAAGGCCTAGGTTGGCTAGTTTTGCTTGGGTCTCTTCCAGGGTGACGCAGAAGTGTTGTCTGCCCCCGTGCGAGAAGAGCAGCCGGAAGGGGAATCC